AATCAAACAATAAAATTTTAAAACTTGTAGTAAAATGAAAAAAAAAAACCTACAATTTAGGGGCTGGAATCGGATTTGGTTGTTGACTTTGCTCTTCCATGACGATTAAGATTGGAGAGGTTAGAGCCTTGGAAATGGATGCCAAAATGCTCAATAAAATTCCATTATGTTCGATACTTCGATTACACTTGACACCTCGTTCGAATCAATTGCCCAAATGATGTTCGATTTGGAGAAATCGGGAAACATATTGCGAGTTGCGATGGAGAAGCCAACAAAGAAACAAATTGCTTTTGTTGGACCTCTGGTTGCGATTAGTGATGGCCAAACCGGCTTGGCCTGGCCTGGGACCGGTGATGGGACCGCTCATTACATCCGGTTATGGTTTTTGTCGGATTTGTGGGACTGGGACCGACCAGGACCGGTTATGGGACCATATGGACCAGCCCGGCCCGAAAATTCAAAAAATTTGTCCCTTTTTTTTAATATAGTCGTTAACTAGCTATTTTTTGACCCTTTTTTTTGTATTTTTTGGCCTCTAAACTCTATAAATATGTAACAAGGTTGAGAGGTTTACATACCAAGTTCTCAATTCGCAAAAAATGTAAAAAAAAGTTTACGATTCTTGGTTTCTCGCTATATTTTGTGAATTTGACTCGTTTCCACTTTACAATTCCATTTCTTTCTCTCTTTGTCTTACAAAATGGCTGGTGAACAACATGATGTATCAAACAAACAAGTTGTCCAAGTTTTCGTTGAACACGGACGAAAGTCCGAGATTTGGAAACTACAACTTGGTGGTCCTCACGAACGGGAAAAGAAAGGCACAATGCAAAATGTGTCAAGCTCTCCTTACGGCGGAAGAAAATTCTATCTTAAGGAGGCACACCGAAAAAACATTCCTGGGGTTGAGGTTGGGGACGATTCAAGCCAACTGATACTTGACACTCGAAGTATCACCCGGTATTTGAAATCTTGATTATGCCATGATTGAAGGATTGTACGATATTTTAGGCGATTTTAAAAATGCGACAACACTTTTATCCGGTATTTATTATCCAACAAGCCCTTTAGTTTTAAATCAATTATATATTTTGGCAAGTAAGATTTCAAATACGAAGACCATCATGATTGGGGAAAGTTGATGTCTTCAATGAAAAAGAAATTGTTAAAACATTTTATGAGCATCTCATTTGCTTTTCTTTGTGTTGCAGCGTTAAACCCGTATTTAACTGTTATCGGTGTTGAATTTTGTAAATTACATAAATATATTTGGCTTTTGGTTTAGATACGGTTACGGATAATTCTTTTCAATTGAACAAAACATTTGTTTAATAATAATTTTCAAGATTTATTTGATCATTACAAACATTTTTACGGAGAAGAAAAAACCAACAACAAAGCTCTTCAAGTCGTGGGTTTGCAAGTTCTAGTTCTTCTTCTAGTGGTCATCGACACAGTCGAAAAGAGTTGATGATTAATTTAATGAACGGGGTTTAAATGAATCAAGTAAAAAAGTAGATTTGATAACGATTTGRGTAAACTAAATATGTATGTGCATACTAAATTTATGTTCGCATGTCCCACAAATTATATAGAAGATTTTGAAAAAATTGATTTATTAGATTTTTGGAAACAAAAACTACCTCAATTCCCGGTTTTGGCGTGCATCGCATGTGATATACTAACAATCCAAGCTAGTACCGTAGCTTCGGAGTTTGTTTTTTCTCTTAGTGGCATGATCATTTTCATACGTCGGACAAGACTAAGCCTGGAGTCCGTGGAGTGTTGCATCTGTTTGGAGGATTATTTAGATAATGTTGATAAAATTCAATACACGACATCGTTATAGATGGAGATTGAAGTGGTGGAAGAAAATGAAATCACCATGGGACTAAGCACGCCGCCAACTACAGATACCGACGACACTTACTCACAATATGACGATGATGAGGAACTCGACATTGATAACCTTGATGACCAAGAGATTGTTAGAAGAATTGAAGACACTGAAACTCTTCAAATCAATCTGACATGGGATACCGATGAAGATTGATGAATAAATGTATTTTCAAATAAATTTATAATAAATTTTTGCAAGACAATGTAATTTTAATTATAATAAAACGTGTTTTTAAGTGTATTTGGATGACTTGTACGATAAATTTTATAATGTATTAAAAATATATACCATTAAAAATATATTTTTTTTAATCGTGGGACCGGTTGGGACCGGGACCGAGAGCAGCGACCCATAACCGGTGGTAAACTAGCCTGACCAGTCTCCACCTATTCGAACGGGACCGAGACCGGTTACAGAAGGACCGGTTATAGCCGGTTTTCAAAAAGTGTGGGACCGGCCCGGGATCGGTTACAAAAGGACCGGTTATAGCCGGTTTACAAAAAGTGTGGACCGGCCCGGGATCGGTTACAAAAGGACCGGTTATAGCCGGTTTATAAAAAGTGTGGGACCGGTTTTTGACCATCACTAATTGCGATACATGATTAAATGGGCCAATAAGTTTGGATTTTGAAGTTAGTTTGGACTTGGATTGGGGATTAAGAGATGTAACAATGGACTGGACTATGGAAGTGGAAGGGCCCAAACAATTTCTTAACACTAAAAGGCCATATAATATATACTTCATGGATCATAAAGGCCCTGCTGACCCTCCGCCCCTATTTTTCCTATGATACRTTATCAATACGTACTCTCTAAAAACTAATTTAACGTTGAATAAGGTTTTTTTTCTGTTACTATAATCAAATGTCATATATGATTTTCCTTCTCTCTCTAGATTTTTTTAGATAATAATCAAGTATGATTCATGTTGTTTGTTGATTCAAGCTTTTGGTGTAAATTTGTTTTAAATTTTATTGCAGTTTTTTTTTTTTAAATTTGATTGGGATCTGATGCTATTTTCTTTATTATTTAGTAGAAATGTAGTCGCACAATGCAGCGAGATATATTTTAATTTTAATATTTCATTTTATTATTTATCTCAGTCGATCTTATAATATGGTCTTATGTGATTTTAATAAGATGATAATGTTTTTATTTTTGAATAAAATATAAATTTGAAAATATCATAAAAATTTGATAACCATTTAAAGTTTCTTATTTTTTGTGTATTTTTTTAATTCAATTTTTTTATTATAATTTAATTTAGATTCAATAACAAAGTTATTTATATATGGTTTAATAATATAATTTTTTATAAAGATAATATTTAATTATTCTGTTAGAACTCAATAATTATCCTAATTATATTTTAGATTTTTTATATTTTAAAATGAGATGTTTATTCTCTATTTAATTATTTTTATCCGCAGCTAGTTACATGAATTCAAACATGGAGATTTAATAAGTTGTACTTATACATAATTTACTTGTAATTTTGAATTTTAAGTAATATGCATCAATATACAGTACTTCATGCATACAAAATGATTTTAATTAAGAGTTTTTGTCAAATRTTTTATAATATAGTATAGATGATGAAACACATAAAAGATAATAATATATTTAATGGTATGTTTTAGAATGTTACTTCTTAATTTTAATTGAATTCGTGCCATAATTAATTAATTTCATCTTTTCATATTTTCTTGCTTCTGCCATCAGAATAAATTACATATCCCTTGTTACTCCATATGTATAGAGATATATTACATATTTGAGTTTGATGGGGGTTTTTAGAGTTTTCATAAAGCTTTGAGAACTCAAGAAATATGTCTGAAAATTCACATATGAATGAGTGTAAGAAAATATGTTTGCAAATTCACAAATGATTTAAAGGTTGAGTATCCATCTGCGTGGGTATCTTCGGGTGAAGATGAATCTTTTTTATGATCAARGAAACCTGATTGTGGCCTGAGGTGTGGAGATTATGAGAGAGGAAGGATGTGCGACGGGAAGATGTGGTCAGAGAGAGGAAGCTAACGGTGGTAGATGTTGTTCGGAAATTGAAGGTGTTGAGGGAAGGGCCAGACGTCAGAATGGGAGTGGGGGAGGGTCTAATGATAGGGAACATTAAATGGTTTTGTTAATATATATTTTTAAAAACGAAAATAAAATAAAATTAAATTGCAAAACGATGATATTACCTCTAACTTAATAAAACACCAGTTAATGAAGTTAGGATAGGGGATTCAATTGAAACTATGATGACTATATATGTAATTACTTCGTTTGTAAGGCCCAATCCAAATTTTGAAGAACGATGGGGACAAAATTTGTAATTTACTCTATTTTTATAAATAAATGTCATGTTTAACAAGCATAAAGTTACCTTATTTTTCGTGGTTTATTCCAAAAAAACTCATTTGATCAAAATAAATTGTTCTTTTTATCAATATAAATTCTATTCATTATATAGCTTTTCTGACAAAATAAATTGACATATTTTTGCCACAACGGTTCTTCATAACTTTCTTCAAAATAAAGAAAACATTAGAACGAGGGTAAATTTCTCTATATTTGGACTTTCTAAGAATTTTTACATATTTTTTTTATCGTATCGACACCAATAAAAATCGTTGACGCTAAATATCTATGAGAAAGAATATAATATTTTATTTTATATATACAATTATGTAGTAATATAATTAATTTTTAGTTCTTAAAATAAAGAATCTGAATGTAATTAATTTTAAATTTGTTAAATATGTTGTAAACGGGAATTGAAAAGACATATTTGTTGAGTCCATAATCCAATTGACACGTACGTACGATCATCTCTTTCATAGCACGGATTATGAAGGAAGATATTTAGTTTAATTTAGATATATGAAAAGACAGATTTAATTGATTAGTAGTAACACTTAATCAAAATAACGTTTTAAATATATTAATTTCTATGCACATATATATATATATATATATATATATATATGTATGTATGTATAAACATTATTATATACGATAAGAAGAAGCAGAATGGTGGTGGATGATAAATTATATAAACACCCATAAATATTCTTTGATTTGGACCTCATTAATTAAAAGGAGTGTATATAGATTTAATTTTAGGATTGAAGTTTGTCTTCCATGGCGATGGAATTCTTACAATGAGCAATAGCTGCTTGAATTGCAGCATGTAATTCTTCCATGGTGCTTTCACTTGTTGTGCTTTTGGCTGGACTTACAGTTCCTGAAGCAAGAAGGATGCCACTGTTGGTCGGAGAAGTCTTCATGGACGCCGGCAACGAGAACTGCCCTCTTCGCTTACCGCTTGTATTCATCATCTCCGGCGGCTTACTCCTCCTCCTGGAGCTCAGCGAGTTGCCGGAAAAAGAATACGACTGGTGGTTGAATGTCCTATTCGATCTTTTGGACTTTGGAAACGACAACAAAGGCCTTACCATCTTCATGTACCTCTTGATAAGTTGACCTAAATCTAACTTGAGCTTCTTGCTGTTGTTTCTCTCTCTATTCTGATCTTCATCTCTTTCTCTCTCATCGTCACACCTTTTTTTCCACTTGGGTATGCCAAACAATGAAAAGGGTTTGGATTTCGGTCCGTTCTTATCGCCGGTGGTGACTTGAGGTTGGTCGAAATCGGAGAAGGTGGTTTGGTGGTGGCAGTGGAAGCTGGTGTTTCCGATGGGGTTTATCGGGTCATATAGGAGGTCTTTGATTGGGAGGGTGAAACTGTCCATTGAGTTTGTGGAGGATCGAGGGGAGACAGGGAGGTGAGAGAGGAGGTGGAGTGGGAGGAGGTGGCCATGGAAGAAGATATCATCCGCCGGAGATAAGTCAATGGCAGCCAATGATGGTGGGGGCAGATGATTGGTTTTATGATGATCGTTAGTATCATCATAGGTGTTGGAATTACAATCTGGAGTTGAAGTTGGTGGTGGGTGTGGACGGAGAGACACGGTGAAGGAGAACTCATGGGTTGGAGAGGAAGAGACTGAGGGTGGTGATGAGGTGGTTTGTGGTGGTGGAGATGATGGATTCTTGCCACTTTCTTGGAGTAGCATTGCTTCTTGTTTCTTCAAATACTCTCTACTTTTATCGCTCTTTATGCTCACCCAATTCTTGATAACCACCAACACCAAACTGGATAACAAAAAGTATGAAGCCCACAGAGAGAGAGAGAGATTTGTCAGATAGAATGAGAACAAGTAGAGTTTGGGGCAGATTACTTTGAGTTGTTTGTCCTTATAATAGAGAAGAGAAGGGCAAATGGACCAAATGTTTACATTATAAATAAAAATAAAAATAAAATAAGGGTGTGATGTGCATAGTTATACTACATGGAAATTAACCTCCTTGTAAATCTACCTTCAATTTCAGTTTATAATCTATTTTCTAGGTGTTAGGATATAGTTCTCGACTAGAACCGCATGAATTGAACCCTATATATATGTTGAAAGATCCAAATTGTTCGAAAACTGATTGATCCTATTTTATATCTGAATAACACTAATTTTTGTTTAGTTCTTCTCGTCAAAAGGATCATGAATTACCCTCGTATTCATGTCGGTTATCTTTTTCTATATTGGGATGGGCCAAAACGAAGCGATTCCACGTACATTGCATCCACGACACCATTTTATTTTTAAATTTATGTTGTTTGACTCAATAATTGAGTCGGTTTGATGGTCCTAACCGATAATAGATTTCTTGCGGGTCAATTTTAAGTTTATACGATACTGTATATTATGTTGACCAATATACCAATACGTCAATTTTTTTTTAAAATTGCTCTGAGACAATAAAAAATCTAACATTCAACGACTTGCACCAAACGATTATTGGGTCACAATATCTTATCTCGTGACAATATGAAGTCTTTGTGTACCAAGAATCATCAAAATAATGGGCAAGAAATGGATCCGAATAAAATAAATATTATTTATTTGCTTTAAAAAAATGAATACAAGTTAATAAAATGTTTGAGGCTGTTTATTAAACAATTACTCGGTAGGTACTTAACAGTAAAATTGGACATTATCATTTATCTTGTCGGATAAGATTTTAGCCTATAAATAAAGCATCATATGCAACAATTTACTCGATGAGTGATAATCGGGTAAAAGTCGTCACCCTTACTTACTGGGTTATAAAATTCTCGCTTCTTGTCATTGCTCTTACCGAGTAAGATTCTCAATTCTTACCATACTCATCCAATAAGGTAATGCATGTGACTTGGTAAGTCACTACAAAATTGAGCAGTATCAGCGATGGATCACGACATTGCTAAGGCTGATATCCATCGTTGTGGGTCAAAATGGTGTGGATGATGCTATCAACACGGATTAGCGACGGATTGCTATCAGTGACGGATCAGCAATAGACACTACGAGCGATAGACTAGCGAAGGTACTTTTTAGCGACTGAGCAGTTTATCTGTGGACTAGATTAACGACGAATTTGCAAGGGATCTTTAGTTACGGATTAACGACAAACCCACCGACTTCAGCGATGGATTTCCGTCATTGATTCATTGTTATTTTGGTAATTTTTAATTTTTTTTTTATATTGCGACCGATTGGGTTTATGGTCTATTCGTCGTTAATCCCTTACTAATAGCGACATATTAGAGTCGTCCTAAAAGCCATCGATGATGGCCCTTTGTCTAGTAGTGAATGATAACCGGATAAACGTTTGATAAATGATCTCAGGACTTAAATATACATATAATACTTTAAATGTATAACACGTTTGATTTTCCTTTGTCCTGATCCAGATTTAGCGTTTATGCGACTTAGGGGCCGTTTACCAATCGTTTAATTGGGTAAGTGATTACCACAAAATTAAACAATATCATTTACTTACCGGGTAAAATTTTAGTTTACCAAAATTGTGTCATATACAACAAATTACCAGGTGAGCATTAACCATGGTATGAGTCATCGTCCTCACTTATTAGGTAAGACTTTCGGTCCTTGCTTCCCCTCTTACCAGGTAAGATTTTTGGTTATTTCTATAGTGATCATCTGGTAAGGTAATATAATTTGCCAAACGCTTACCCGGACAAGCGTTTGTCAAACGTCCCCTTATTTTAATTAAATTAAGTTATAATTAATATAAATATAAGGGGACTTTCTTTTGAAAACTCTATAAATCGTGAGATCTTTGAGAATAACGCATTTTGTGTTATTTTATATAACTCTTTTTCATATATGGCCAAAATCAAATATAGTAATTAACATATATTTGTTTTACAATGTATTTGTTTCACATGTATTTATTCACAATATAAACCTTTTTGACGTGTTCGTTTAATAAAAAATACATGTAAAAAGTTTCACAATGTAAACCGAATATATATAAAGGAAACTGTATATGAAAAAAAAAAATCAATATTATACTATACTTGAAAAAAAGTTTATATGAAACAAGAGGCAAAAGCTCTCATAAATTTTGTAATATTTGAAGTTTCCAAATAGTTAAGACATAATTACGAAATCGTAAATATATAATAATTAATTTATTTATAATATATATTTAAAATAAATTTTTTAAATTAATCGAGTATAAAACTATTATGAATTATCTTTTGATGGATATTCTTGAAAAAGATTATGTCTGGAACGTGATCTACCTATCTGATTATTAATTGGGTAGAGTGGTAGTAGACCCAATTAAAATTTATTCCTATTTATGGGTATTTAAATTACTTTTTGACTTTATTCAATTCTACATAGAAAAATTAAATATCATGAGAAAAGATGAAGAAGTTGTAATAATTCATGTAAAAGTATATATATAAATTCATATGAATTGTAAGGATAGTCGTATAATGTAGTGATTTACATCTCAATTTTTTTTTGTCTATTGATATAATACAGTTTTATATGGTTTTAAATAAGTGATAATGTTTTTATTTTTAAATAAAATATAAATTTGAGAATATTCTAATTAAAATTTAAAAAGAATATCCATATTAATATCAAATTAACTATTTAAATATTTTTGTTTTTTGTGTAATTTCTTTGATTTAATTTTTTATTATAATTTAATTTAGATTTAATAACAAAATAATTTATTTTTGATTTAATAATATAATTTTTTTATAAAGATTATAATTAAGTATTATATTAGAATTCAACGATTATCTTAATTATATTTTAGAATTTTTATATTTAAAATTTGATATTTATCTTGGATATAATTATGTTTATCTGCAGTTAGTTACACGAATTCAAAAATAAAGGTTTAATAAGTTGTACTTATGTATAATTTATTTGTAATCCTGAATTTTAAATAATCTATATTATATTATAAAACATTTGACAAAAACTCTTAAAAACCACTTTTTATGCGTAAAGTACTGTTTATTRATGCATATTACTTAAAACTCAAGATTACAAGTAGATTGTGTGTAAATACAACTTATTAAAATTCCATATCTAAATTCGTGTAGCTAACTGCAGATAAACACAATCAAATATAAGATAAACATCTCATTTTAAATATAAAAAAATCTAAAATATAATTAAGATAATCATTGAGTTTTAACAGAATACTTAATTATTATTTTTATAAAATGTTATATTATTAAAACAAAAATAAAGTTACTAAATTTAAATTAAATTATAATATATATACTATATTATAAAACATTTGACAAAAACTTTTAAAAACCACTTTTTATTTTTTWAAATATTGTTTATTAATGCATATTTACTTAAAACTCAATATTACAAGTAGATTATGCATAAGTACAACCTATTAAAGCTCTATATCTGAATTCGTGTAACTAACTGCAAATAAACATAATCAAATACAAGATAAACATCTCATTTTAAATATAAAAAATCTAAAATATAATTAAGATAATTATTGAGTCCTAACAGAATACTTAATTATTATCTTTATAAAGTGTTATGTTATTAAACCAAAAATAAATTATTTTGTTATTAAACTTAAATTAAACTATAATAAAAAAAATAAACTAAAGAAATTACATAAAAAATAAGAACTTTTAAATAGTTGATTTGATATTGACATTGATATATTTTTTTCAAAATTTTATAATATCTTCAAATTTATATTTTATTCAAAAATAAAATCATTATTGTTTTCTTAAAAACACATAAAATCGTATTATAACATCGACAGAAACAAATAATAAAATAGAACATTAAAATCGAGATGTATCTCGCTGCATTGCGCGAGTACTCTTATAGTATGTATCATAAACGATATTTTATGCATAAAAAATTGTTTTTAAGAGTTTTTATAATATAGTATACATAATCTATGACATCGGTTCACATGTATTTATTTAAATACATTTTTTCAATAATTCACACATAATTTTTTTTTCTTCAATTTTCATGATATTTAGACTTCTTATCTCAATTGTTCTCTAATTAACCATCTATTCACATAATTGTTGATCTTATAAATTTAATSGACGATTCCTTGTAACGGTATTAATGGATAACAAATAGGATGATTTATATTATTTTTAATAAATATGTATTAAAATAACTGGAGTTTTAAAAGACAAAATTACATGCATCACGAGAAGAATCTTTGTCACAGGTTTCCTTTTTATTTTTTTTATTTTTAATATTTGATAATTAATTGTTTGTGTGCACACTTGGAGAGCTGAATCTTGCTTTTATTCGATTTTGAGGGATTATTAAATTTCCCTCAAGATCTTCCTTCCCATAGCCTTTATATTTAACTAATAACTATGACCACCTTCAATCATATAAACTAGACTAAATCACATTTTTTTTATCAACTCTCTTCTGTCTTTTAAATTAATTACAGTTTTAATATCTGAGGTTTCGATCTGTTGTTCGTCACCTCTAAAGACATTTTGGTCTTTATATTATTTCGTTAATTTTTGATAAAAAGCAAATAATATATATCATTATATATATACACACAAACAATCTCAAGAACCAAGGGGTTGATCAAGTCCTTGATCAAAGAAGCGATTCCAGATTCCAACCTCCAACCTCGTTTCTTCGGCGATCTCCTTCACCCCTAGCCACCGATCTCTCTCCCATAACAATGAATTATTCTCCTGGGTGTAAGAGTTTCGGTGTATCAGTGTGTTTATAAATATTGTATATTGTATTTAGAAAAACTGATAAAACAAAAATGAGAAAAGATTAAAATGCCTTTAATTTTACTAGGTCTTTTAACAAAGTTAACAAGATA